TAATAATAATAATAATAATAATAATAATAATAATAATAATAATAATAATAATAATAATAATAATAATAATAATAATAATAATAATAATAATAATAATAAGGGACAATTAGCGAAAACCCCCTATAGCATTTTTTTAATAAGGATGGATCCAGCCCATTTTTCTTTATTAGTGATAGGTCCAGTTTTTCTCTTATTCCAAATTTATCCTCCTACTATTCACTACCACTATTTTAATGACTTCTTAATTCTTTTAATTACAATTTTCGTTTATTTTTTTATTTATTTTTAAAAAAATATTTTTATTTAAAAAATATTATCTACTTCAAAAATAATTAATCTCTTTTTTTTTTCCTGCTGTTGGGTTTGCAAATCAATTATAATATTTTCGAAAACAACTATAAAATTTCCGAAAACAACTATAAAATTTCTTAAACAACTAAAATTTTGTTTTTCTTTTTGACTATTTTGTTCATAATCAACTATAAATTTACCGAAAACAACTATTTTTTTTTCTCGTTTTTTCTCCGAATCAACTTTAAGAAAACTCTAAAACAACCACGAAAAATAGTTGTTCTCAATGGCAAGTTTACCAAATAAGATCAACTAAAAATAAAGAAATCAACTATAAAAAAATTGAAATCACCTATAAAATATGGAAAACAACAATAAAATCTAGTTGTTTAATGAAATCAACTAAAAATTATTAAAAACAACTACAAATTGTCAAAAACAACTACAAAAATCGAAAACAACTACAAATTTACAAAATGGACTACAAAATAAACAACTCCAATTTTAGAGAAAACTTCTATAAATTCATTTCTTCTACTTTGCCATGGCTGAGATAGGAGTTTTCTTCATGAGATAGGGCCAAGATACAACTCCGATCAAATGAGTTTTCTTCCACAGATCTTCGTAGATATCAAATGTGCTATGCATAAAATAATCCCAATGTCCGCAACTATTTCATACATAAAGACAAATAAAAAAAAACAATAAAAATTCAAATCAGAATACACAATAATATCCAAAATATGTAATAACATCAACAAATTGCTGAGTTCTATTTAAACAAACGCAAGACTCAAATCACAAAATTATTCAACAAATAAGACATGATAGAAATCGAATCATACTGTAATTTTTGACAATTGAATCAAGACAACAACATCATAACTATTAATCTAAAAAATCAATCAGTTGCAAAATAAAAATGATTAAATAATGAAGGAATTTGACAGACAAACCTAAATAATCTCGTTTGCTTCGATCCGGATCTCGTCGTCACCGGTGTTACACCGTCATGAAGGCTAAGAGGTCGTCGATGTCGGATCGGAGTCATGTGACACTGGAAGTTGTTCCCAAAAAACGGCGGAGAAATGAATTGGAGAAGAAGCTTCGTCATCTGCTTCATAATTGCCCTTAACCATGGGATTCGCACATAAAAATGCTATTGGGAGAGAAGAAGAGGGATGAAAAAAAATATAGAAGATCGCGAGGCGGGGTTGGGGGAGAGACTGCGTGGGAGGTGCAGATCTGTGGCGAGAAAGAGAAAAAGAGAGAGATGCGGCTGGTGAAGAGAAGTGAGGGGAAAAATATGGTTTAATGATAATTAAGGGTAATATAGAGATATCCCTAAATTTCGAATTTATGGTAAATTAAAATATATAATGAGGGGGTTTTCACTAATATGCAAAATGATCTTATATTCATCCTAATATAACTAAATGTGTTGGGGGTTTAATAATAATAATAATAATAATAATAATAATAATAATAATAATAATAATAATAATAATAATAATAATAATAATAATAATAATAATAATAATAATAATAATAATAATAATAATAATAATAATAATAATAATAATCCCTTGCTTTAATAGTAAGCAATTCAATCTTCAAAATCAACTAATATAAACCCTAAGGGGGTATTTAATTTGTCGTTAAATCCCCAAGCCCTGTTTCTGGTTCTCCTCCCAAACTCTGGTCTCTTCTTCTCCACATGGAGAAGTTTTATCGTACAGCTGTAGAACAATATCACGACAAACTGGTGATTTGCCACGTCCATACAATCGACAGAAAATCGACGACGAAGACGACCTTCTCCACCTCGTCCCTCCGGCCTGGATTGACCGTCGAATTCCTTCTATCTTACATATCAGATATCTCCTTCCACTTCGTCGAACGAAACGATTTCGGTAAACGGCACATCGTGTCGAAAGCTCCTCTGCCGAAGCAAGAGGCTTCTGCGGTCATCGTCAACGCGCTCTCCACCAGCAGCGAATACGTACGAA